GCCTGCACAGGGCACCCATGCGATAAGTGGCACAAAGCTGCCCTCTTCACCCACAGGTACAGCAGAGACCTTGGCAGATATGTGAGAAGCCCAGGGTGGCCTGGATCATAACCTTGACGGAGGAGTACCAGAAGGTCACTCATGGCAGGAACAATCTTGAGTTTTGTTGGGCTCCAGAAAGAGTTCACTCAAGTGAAGGTGTCTTTCCCCAATGGTGAGGATTGACAAGTAAATTCTCCATTGCTTCAATTACCAGAATTCTGATTTATAAGCTACCAAGTTGCACTTGACTTGAAATTTACAGGGGCCTCCAACTGGTCTTTTCTCAAGTTTACGTAATCAGATTTTGGCTCAGGTTGATATAATACTTTGGAGAGAATGGGGAAAGTATTTCAGGGGAGGAGGCCCTTAGGTTGTAACTTATTTGTACCTGGAAGTTCCAGGTATCCCTTAATCTTTGGTGGGGGGTTACTTAAAACACCTGAGGACAGGATAATAAGGGTCTCCCCCAAACCAGAAAGAGAACTCCCTAAAGTATGAGAAGATCTTACCAGCTTACTCAAATCCAGTTTATATCGAGGGATGCAGATAGTCACCCTTAGTCCAGGATTACGGTGAGCAGCCCCGTTAACGTCTACACAAGGCTCCAGAGCTGACCCAATGGCCAGAGAGAGTGACAACTTGAGGCTTAGGAGTGAGTCTCCCACTCTTTACTCCTCAAGAAAAAGGCAGCTTTGGGAGTCATGCCTTCATTCCTCTCTGCTCTTTCCCTGGGAAGCAGGACATGCCCAGGGCCCAGGACCAGCAGCCAAGGGTTCCCCTCACTCTCTCCACTGTGTGTCTGCAGCCTGGCTCCCCATAGCCTGTCCACAGCAGTCTCAGAGGCCCGGGCACCCCTCTCTGCTCTTAAGAGCGAAAAGTGTTTTTCTCAAATACAGCATGTGTTCTCAAGAACAACATATTAATGTTCTTGAGCTCCAAATAATAAGGGCATGGAAAGAATAGAAACTTCCCATAATTTGACCCTCCCACCTCTCCAAGATCACTTCAACAGTTCAAATATTCTTCCAGAACTTTTCTTCCCAGTACCTGTCCATACCTATCTATACATACGTAATTAATGCGATACAAATGTAAATATGTGTTTCCTACTGTAAAAATGTCACTTAAAATTTTTTAAATGTCATTTTACAATACACGCTGTGCTTGATCTACTTTTTCGTTTAATACAGTAGATATTATATATATATATATATATATATATATTTAAATATTTACAAATATTGCACGGATGAGCCATAATTAATTATTCAGTCCCCTACTTGAGAACTTCTGAGTTGTGTCCGAACAACCTGCCCAGAGACACACTTACATGTAAGAGACAGAATGGGAATACGTACATACAACACATATGGAAACAGAAAGTGTACCTTAAATGTATAACGAACCACGCGTGCTTGGGAGGAGTTTCAGACGCCCTCTGGTATAGTTCATGGATATCCCTGGAGTATATGTGGATATGTTCGCCTCAAAAAGAAAACTTTCAGCCAAGTGTTTTTAGACCCTCTGGGGATAAAGGATAGCTATTCTGCATCTGTCCCTAGTGTTTCTTTCTTTTCTTTTCTTTTCTTTTTTTAGTAACGTATACTGTATCATATTATATGATATGGGAGGGGTACAGGTCTGTGAATCATCAGTCTTGCACAATTCACAGTGCTCACCATAGCACATACCCTCCCCAATGTCCATAATGTCCCCAATGTTTCTATACTGATTTTAAGTCCTAGGCAGGGCAGCTTGACTCAGATAAGTGGTAACAAAGGGCAACAATTCATTTGAGAGAGAACAGAAGAATAATCTGCTTCAAATTCTTTTTAAAATAGGAGGGAAGAAATGATTGGGAGCCAGAGGGGGAAAAAAGGAAGAAAGGAAAGAGAAAAAAGAAGAAAAATGCTTTCTGCTGGCCATTGGTTGCATTATTCTCGCCTGATTTGGCAGTGTGATAATTGTAGGTCTTTCAAAGGACATAATATTATGACAGATTTCCCTCGCTTACTTGTTCCCGGGGCTGAACATGCAACATTTACTTCCTGCCACGAGGCTGGAGGCTGTTCCCTCCTGGGTTAATCCTGAAATACCCCACGTCCAGGAGAATGAGAATGTCCGCCACGAGAGGTGTTGTTGTGTTTGCTGACATCCACCCTGCAGGCCCACGGTGGGTGAGGGACCGCGGGGAGGTGGTGACGGCTGCAGACTGAGGGCAGTGACCCAGGACGGCCAGGGCATCTGGCTCGGCCCTCCTTGGGGCTCGAGGACACTCACACCCGTCCCCAGACGAAGACCCTGAGTGCTGCCGTGGTCGCATCAGGGACAAGAAATCCAGGTCTGTGGTCCCCACATCACTAGGTAAAAAGGCAAGAGGCTTTTATGACTTTCCCTTCTTGACCAAAAAAAAAGAGGTAGGGGGAGGAGGTCTTAAATGTGATCCTTCAGCTCTGTGAATGCAAACCAGGGCCTGGTGGACTGGGGAGAGCAATTAGGCCAAACACGGAGTGCAAAAAACCAAAAGGGGGTAGAAATCTAGACAACGGTGCTGAAGTCTCGGGTGGGGTGGAGGGGGAACGGATATGATAGCAAAGAAGGAGTTTCAATGTGAATGAATACTAATTAGTGACATGGATATTAATGATGACAGTAATTAACAGGGGAAAGGAAGGGCTGTCATCGTCCCAGGGTGAGTAATCAATCTTGGCAGGTGATAAATAATGGTTCAGCAAGCTCAGCAGAAAGATAATCCGCCTGCCCGGGGGAGAGCTGTTGCTGATGCTGGAAACCTATCCGTTTCCAGGCAACCCACTAAAAAGAACTATTTTTCTTTTGAGGAAAAAACAGGTTAGAGTCTCTCCCCCACCCCCAACTTGGGATTACAGTTCTTATTTGATTTCTGCTTTGTTCTTCATTTCCTAGGACAAATGTTGAACTTGTATAATTCGGAGGAGATGGACACACACACACACACACACACACTAGCACACACAGACATACTCTCCTTTTGCTCAAAGAATGTGAATGAGTAGGAGGATTTTTGATCCAAAGTTTAGCTCATAGATGGCATCCGGGAGCAAGAATGGGGAAAAGCTTACAGGTTCTGCTTCGGAGGTTGAAATGGGGGGAACTTGCAGGGCTGTGTCAATGGAGGCTGGTCACACAGGATGGGGCCCTGGTTGTCTACTGCACAAAGTTCATTCCCCCTCCAGAGAGCTGGAGAGAAACAGGCCTGTGCTGCTCTCACCTCTGGAAACCAGTCAAATGTCTGGGAAACTTTATTTCTGGGAAAAGGGCAATGCTCACTAAAGGTTTTCAGCTAGACTCTCAGGAAAGCTATGGGGAGACCTTGTCTCTCACACCAACCCTCAGACCCACACATGACAGGATTCAGACATCTAGAAAGGTTGCCCTTTTCAGGCTGCTTTCCATCAAACATTCCATCCTGAGGTGACAAAGCCACATTTGAAGATCTGCACTAGTTCCAAGTGCAATGGTTGAGAGACAAAGGTGAATTAACTGGAAGTTCAGAACTTTCCAGAAATTTGAACTCCTCTACTCCCCCGGTGGCTCCAGGTGTGACATCTTCAAAGGGAGGCAAACAAAAGGAAACATATTCAGAGACCTATGACCAAAATGGGAGGAGCTCTAAGTCATGTCATGGGAGGAAATAGCTGAGGGACCCAGGCATGTTTCATCTCAAGGGGGGAAAACTCAGGAAGAATGTTGATAGTATATCGGACAGACTTTCTCCAGAGCAAGAAGGTCTGGATTTGTTTTTCTGTCATCAGAGGGCAAAACTAAGTCCAAAGAGAGGAATTCAGAAAGGGTCAAATTTCTGTTCAGAGAAATCAAAGATGATTTAACTGGGCCAGGCTGCCTAGGGGGGGAATCTGTGATTCCCAGGTACTAGGGTTTTTCCCAGTAAGATTATGGCACTTCCTGTCCAGGGTATTAGAGATGTGGTTCCAGTATTGGCTAGGGTTGGAGTATCTAGATAAGCTTTAAAAGTCCTTTCCAACTCTTGTAATTTTATATTAGTTAAGGTAGTACTCAATATCAAAACAGATAAATCCCAACTTCTGGGGCTTAACACAACAGAGTTTATTTTTCAATCAAGTCAGAGCCCAAAATGGGCATCAATTTTCATGGTTGTTCAGGATCCCAGGCTCCTTCCGCATTGCAGCTCTGCCCTCCCCTGGGTTCTTGGGGTTCTCTCCATTCAGCCAGCAGATAGGGAATGAAGGCTGTGTAGGGTCATATGGGAGTTTTTATGGTCCAAGCCTAGAAGTGGTATACATCACTCCTAGCCATATTCCATTGTAAGAACTCAATCTATACCCAATGGCAGACGAGTCTCGAAATGTAATCTAGTGACCCAAAAAATAGGGCAAATAGGTTTTGGTGAACACAAAGAAGTTTCTCCCCCAGAAACAGGGGCATTTTCTTTTAAAATAGGTCCATGCCAGAAAAAAAAAAAAAGAGTTTTGGTTGTTGTTGCTGTTGTTGTTTTAGGAACATGTAAGGACAGCTATGTTGGTCAGCCCTTGTCAGGGTAGGGAGCTGAAGAGGCCTCCTCCCTCAGGAAATGTCCTGGGAGCCAGGTGTGGTAAAACGTCACCAAGCCTGTCTCGGGGAAGTCATCAATATCTGTATTTGCAGGAAGTCTCCTGTAGATATTCCCTAGAAGCGTGGATGCAAGATCATCCTGAGTCATTGGAAAAGGATTTTTCTTTCTTTCTTTTTTTTTTTTTTTTTTTGGAAACAAATAGGACGATGACTATGCAAGTGTCCTAATGGATAGAAGTGTTTAGTTAGGATGGAAAATTGTCAATATTACCCAGCTGTCTGGGTGTGTGCTGGTTGGAATTAGGACTTCCTTAGATAAATATGTTTCTTCCGCCACAGGGCAAGCATCCATGATGTCTTCAGTTCAAATTTCTTTATCGTTTCAGGTACTGACATTGTACAGTGGCTTATGAAGAACCTTTCCATCGAGGACCCAGGTACTTGACCCTGACTTTATCCTCCAGGGCACTGAGAAACATCCCATAAACAAGTTCCAACCAGATTTGCTAGCTTCCCGAGAACTGGGTTTATAAATGTGAATCCCAAGTTGGAATCACTCTATTTGCAAATAAAATTAATTTCTTTTCTCAACTGAATATCTATCTTTAAATCTAAATCACCCTTTGAGGAAACGAGCAATTATTTAGAGTGCCAAAGAGCCCAATACAATAACGTGTGAAATGAGATGAATTCTCGTTAGCCACAGCAATTAAAGATAAGTTGTAGAGCTATCACGAAACAGCCTTCTAGAACCAGCTCTTAAAATTAGATTGCCTGATCCACAATTAAGATGTTTAATTATTTGCTGAGATTCCTTCTGTTTTCTGCTTCCGCAAGAAGTGAAAGAATGATTTTTTTTTCAACCTTAATTGTGCATTTCAGTTAAGAAAATCTTACCAGAAAAACAACAACAAAACTCTGGCCAATAAAACAGTTTTCAAATCTGTCCTCCCACCAGAAAATAAGTAGCAAAATTTATTTTCACAGCATAATTAGAAAATGAGGAGTTTCAGAAAAATAAAAATTGCAGATAAGTGAAACTTACTATTCATGTGTCAGTTAATACTTTTCAGAATTTATTATATACTTCCTGTTTTAACTGAGTATCTTCAATGCCCAAAGGTCATATTTATAAATATCCATTAATGTGTTCTTGTGTTCTTGGGGATTAGACCTCTCTGTCCCAAATTAAATGGTTTCCAATGGCTAAGCTTTCTAAAGATTTTTTTTTAATGCCCTTTCTAGATGTCTGTGATTCCTTTCTGAGAGTCACTGTGTCACCTCCAGAATTCCTCTATTTTAATCTAATACCCTTAATATACTATTGGTTATGAAACAGTACAATTTACATGGAGTTCAATGAAATATAGTTGCCAGAAATCCGAACGCCACAAAGGCAGGTCACTGATAGAAGTGACACTAGCCTTTTTCACCATCATGATTAATGGCCACTCCCATGACTAGTGAAAATTCTTAATTCTAGTCAAGCTCTCAATCCATAGGGGGAGACTAAATTCAAATCCTTTTAAGGAAAGAACTCAAATTGACTATGACCCATGTTTCCCTCATGCAGCCTGGCTTTGTCACTGCCCACTGGATGAAATACATTTCTACCGGTTTAGTTCCATGTATTTAAAGTCAATGTTTCTTTGCATTTAGCATTTATAATGCTGAGCCCAAGGACCACCTTTCTTCACGGTGCTTCTCTTCCAGCAACAGTCTCTTTTCCCTTTCCACAATAACCCTTGTATTTCTGACACATACTTTATTATGATTTTAGTATCAGTAGCAGTATTGCGAGAGCCCAGAGCCAGCTGGGGGCGGGGGAATAGGCTTCAGGAGGCCTCCCGCCCTCTTATGAGAAGCTTCCCTGAAAGGTCATGAATAATAAGGCTCATATCTGTGAAGGTCTCTTATACTCGAATGGCCTTGGGAGGACGTCAAGGTATTGGGAACTGTTTGGGCTTCTGAGAAATGGATAAGGAGGAGTTAATAATTCACCAGCTGGGAATAGAAGAGTGGAAATGAGGCAAATCAAGGCCCTGGGAAGCCAGGTTCATCCAATATCTTCCCCTCCCTCCCGTCTTACTCCCCATCTGCCATATATCTAAGCAAAACCACAGTGGATGGAGAGTTCTTGCTCCTACATTGGCGACATGGAAGTCACCTTCTTACTGGATGTTGTTCTCTCTTCCCTGGGGAAGGAGCAGCTGCCAGGGATAAAATTCTTCTTTTTGCTGGACCCATGATTCTTGAAGCATGTAGACTTTAAAAAGCACACTGGGCATCACTAAGCAAATAAGATACAACTTCGTTCTGATTCCACCAGTTATTTCCAAAGGATAGATGATTCTAAATAAGCAAAACACTTGGATTATATCCAACCTCTTGAGAAGTTTGTGAGTAAAGACAAAGCAAGTTGCTTTAAAAAATTCAGAGCTTACAAAATTAATAATTCCTTAGACTCCTTAGGCATAGCAATAATTTCCACATCCAAAAATTAAGTTTTTACCAGTAAGAGTGCTTTTATATTTGTGGAAGATTATCATGCATGGTAGAACCATTTAGATTTGTTATTTTTTTCCTTAGCTCTCCTCAGAATAAATATAAATTCTTAACTACGTGGATCTACTTAGGGCTGGCACTAAGTCACAAAACAATGGGTTGATTGTGGCAAAAATGGGCATATTTCTGTTGGGTCGGCCTTCCTTTGCCACTCCCCACTGCAGTGCCCTTCCTCCAATTTTCTAAGAAAGTGAGGTTTTACTCTGTGTCCATAAGAGAACAGAAATGCTCTCCTCTTCTCTGGTGGGACTGTCATATCGGGGAATGCCACGAGAGTCCAGAGTCTCTCTGGGCAGTGAGGCTGCATGCTCACTGCTGGGGATGATAAAAATGATGAAAGTAGCAGCATGAATCTGGGCTGCCCGCACCTACTGAGCTCTAGGCCCTGCTAAGCACTTACCTGAAACATCCCACTTGATTGAGGACAGGTGTCTATGTGCCGGAGCTCTGCTCTTCACCATGAAGCTACTTCCTTCTGGAGGTCTTGGGGGAAGTCAAGCAATGTCAGTCTCTCGGAGCTGGCATCCAGATGAGACCCAGACCCATGTTGGCCTTTCCCAACCATGACACCCACCCCATCCAGACCAGTGCATTGATATCAAAAGTTATCAATCAGTCAATCATGCAGTTATCTGAGGGTGAGGATAGTTGACTTCCGGTTGCTCCTGACTTACATTCCAGGTAAGGAGCCCTGCACTCTGACAGCTTGCTTAATACTCCTCTCTCTCTCTCTCTCTCTCCTGTCCTGTCCAAGCAGTTGAAGCAATACACTTGGGAAGCCTTATAGCTGCCCAGGGCTACATCTTTCCGATCTCAGACCATGTTCTCACCATGAAGGATGATGGCACCTTTTACCGTTTCCAGGTAGGCCTGCCAGCCCCTTGCTCTGAAGAACTGTCTCTTATCATCTGATCTCAGTTTAGAATGACCTGCAAAACCAAGGGTATTTAAGGGAGTAACCCTGACCTCCCCCTAGCATTGGGAAGGCCAAACAAGCTTTTATTTGGGCCATTTGTTGTTGGGGGGGTGGGGGTTCCACATATTTCCCCATTCATTCTGAAGAACAAATTTTGAGAGGTAAATATTACCCATTTGACAGATGAGAACACTGAGGCGCTCTGAGGTTTAGTAAATCTGGGAGGTGGCCTTGATTTGAGCGTGGGTCAGCCTCAGGACAAAGTCCTTGATCTTTCTGCTCTGTCATGCTGCCTTCCTGGTGTGAAGTTTCTATCCACTGCCTAACCCCTCCCACCCATTTTCCTCTCCTTTTCTCAAATCCTGTCCTAGAGGGAAATGGGGCAGACGATAAGGGGCTTTTTCAAGGTCAACACCAAGGGGTTTGGAGTGGAGTTTTTCAGAGTCAAAGGGTATCTCAGTCTGCTCTGACTACTATAGCAAAATAGCACAGACTGGGGGGCTTAAACAACAGAAATTTATTTCCCACCGTTCTGCAGGCCAGGTGCCCAGGGTCAAATTTCCAGCAGGTTAAGTCTGTGGTGAAAGCTGTCATTCGGGCTTTCCAACAGCCGCTTCTCACTATCCTCCTCATATAGCAGAGACAGAGAGAAAGCAAGCTCTCTGGCAGTTCCTCCATTAAGGACACTAATCCTAAGGGATCAGGGCCCCACCCTTGTGACCTCTTTTAACTTTAATTACTTCCTTACTCCAAATACAGCCACCCTGTGGGCTAGGGCTTCCACATATCAGTTTTAGGGGCACACAATTCAAAGGGATAAAAGGAACTTGGAGCTTGTGTGCCCAGTAAACTGTGCCGGTCTGACTTCTCTTGTCTTGGGATAAGATATGTTTGCCCTCTAAACTAAGTTTCTCATTTTTGCATTTATTTTGCTCACCTTAGCTTTCATTTCTCAATACCTGGGTTAAAATGTTGACAGCCTCAACTGAATTAAGAACAGGAGAAAGTTTGGGATGTGGTGTCGGCACAAAAGAGACAGGGCAGAGCATGTCCCCGGGTGGGGGGGTCCTCACTGGGTGCTGGAGAAGGTGGACCCTGCCTCCGGGCAGAGGAGAGCAGGTGCCACCATTCCTCTGAGTCCTGACACCTGTGCTCTTTTGCAGGCCCCGTACTTTTGGCCTTCCAACTGCTGGGAGCCTGAAAACACCGACTACGGTGAGCAGTAAAGAAATGTCACTCTTGGGAGTGTGGAAGACAAATGCCTGGTGTCTGGGTGACAGCCGCGCAGGGAGGAGGGGTCATTTTCCTGCTTAATCCTTTTCATACCATTGACATGTAATAAGCTCCCTGTTCCACATAATGAAGAAAGGCAGAGCACACTGAAAGGTGCAGCCTTTGGAAGGGAATGGGGGAAGGGAAGAAAAGTTCTATCAAGCTGTGGAGTCATGGAGAGCCAAGACAACAGCTGCTGACCAGTCCTTTCTGGAGCAGGGTTTCAGGGAGGGCTGGATCCAGGGGCCACCTCCCCCTAGTTCTTTCCATTCTCACCATCTTGTCAAGACTTATTAATAATTCATTGGAGGTTTTCATAGTTAGACGTTAGTGGGAAAGGGAGACAGACCAGGGAGGAATGTACCAAAGGTACCCTGGTCGAGAAAAATAAGAGTGGATGAAGTTGGGAGCTTGGCAAGAAGGGAGTAGGCAGGGATCTGTTAGACTCTGGCCATATACTCTCTATGAGACTTCCTCTGAAGAAACTATATTGTCCCCATACTCCAGATAAAGAACCTGAGCCTCAGAGAGGCCACACGCTCGCACTTTTCACCTTGCATTCTCTTTATCTAGATGCTCAGTCATAAGCTCAGGGACTGGTCCTACCTGTTCACTCTCATGTTTCCCAGTGCCCCGTGCAGGGCCGAGGCATGGTTGGAACTCAGTAAATAGTTGCAGACAGTCCTGATTCTTTATAAAAGGTGATTGACAGACACTCAGTAGAAGCATCAAAATTGGAACTCAGATCTGAGAGCCTTCCGGGCCAATGCTTCTTTCATGGTCTGTCCCTTTACACAGTGTCCTTGTCACTGACTTGGCTGCTAAGGCAGTCCACAGTGGCTCTCCTTGGGACTGGAGTACTTGGTGAGACCCAGAGCTTCTCTCTAGGTTCTTTGCAGGATGGCTTGCTCAGGAAGGCAGAGGCAGCTGCAGAGACTGGGGGGAGATGTGCAGCTGGGCAGTGTTCAGGGAAGCCTGTCCAGGAGACCTGGCGGTGCACTAGACTGGCTCCCTCCCAACCCCAGCCAGCAGGTGGGAGCAAAACCAAGGGTGGGGTGCGGACAAGTCATTGCCCACCAATCCCACAGTTCTTTTGTTTTCAAGTCTGAAGGATGGTCCTTACGTGGGTGGTGGGGGGAAGCCTTCTGATGGACCTCACAGCTGTCTACAGGCACCTCTCTGGGTCCCTCTGGAACTGGGCTGTGATAACTGGAGAGTTAAAGCTTCCAACTGAAAACCAGAGCTACATTTGGCTCGTCACAAAACAAGTTCTTCGGGGGCTGGAATACTGCTCGTGAAAGCCCAATTGGAAATTTGAGTCATTGTAGCTCAGATCCATGCAGCAGCTGTGTGCTCTGGTGAATCTAAAAACCAATATCCTTACAGGCAGTGAAGGGGCAGGGGGAGAACATGGCAGGACCAGATAACTAGACCCTAGTGAGATGAGAATACCCACCTAAATATGAATCCACAAGCTTCAGCTGTTGGGTATGCATACACCAGGCCATTAGTCCCCCATTCCTACAGAGCTTCTCCACATCATGATTTTATGTGCAGCATGAACAAGGCTAGAAATAACAATTTATATCAGGCTCTCATTAAAACAAAATTATTTTGACTTCCTATGCCACTCAGTTACTCCACTCAGGTGGAGAAGTCAAGGTACGGATCCAAAGTACTCACCAGCACTTCCAAAGCAGTTCAGTCCGAAAATCAAAGTATTTACCAAAAGAGAAGTTAGGGCAGCGGCTCCAAGATCAACTGACTCCACTGGCTGTGTGATCTTGGCAAGTTACTTAACCTCTCTGTGCCTCAAAAACTTCATGTGCAGATCAGAATAATAATAATTGCCCTTGTTTCCTAGTGTTGTTTTGTTACGATGAAATGCAATGCTTGTAAGGTTTGGTGTGTGACCTATAGCAAGGATTCAGTAGAAACCGTGGTGGTGGTTAGTATTCTTATGACTAAGGTCGTGTTCGACAGTGTGCGTCCCGTGGTGGCCCTCTTGCAGAAAGGAGATGAAAGCAAAGTGAGAAATCAGAATAGGTGTGATTCGGACTGATGAAGAACCAAAAACTTTCGCTCATTCAACAAACCTTTACTGATCACCTATTCTGTGTCAGTTGCTAGGGCACAGATTTGAATAAATCACAGCCTTACCATCCAAACATTCCAGGTCGGAGGAGGCAGCCTGATGGGGAGGAAGAGGGTGGTGAGGAGGCCGACCTGAGTATTCAGAGGTTTCATGTCAATGAGGAATGACCAAGAAGGTCGAGTCGTTCGGGAGGGACAGGTTTATCAAAAAGCCGTCGGTGTCAAGGAGAGACTTTGAGAATGGAGGTAGCAGCGCTAGGGAGTCTCAGCAATGGGGAATGACCTGAAAAACGTCCCTCGGCTCTAAAATGAAGATAATCACAGAACCCACCTCATAGGTTATTATGGGGACATAAGTGAACATTTGGAAAGTCTCTAGAACAGCATCTGATATCAGTGAGCTTCGTACGGGTGGTAGAGGCTATTATGGTGATGCCTCAGCACCATAATAACAGTGCTTGGCACACAAGGGGCCCTCGCTAAATATTTAAATGGGTGGACGAATGAATAAATGAATGAGCGGCGAATGTCATTATGAAAAAAACTCCGAAGCAGCCATCAGTTCTCATTCCACCTCCAGCACCAACTGGCTTGTCGGTAAATCCCTTCACCTCTCTGGGCCTTTGGTTTTCCCATCTGGCAACAAGGGGCCTGTGCTTGATAGTCACCAAGGTTACTTCCAATGCTAAAATCCCATTGTACTACAAAGTGATCTGAGGGTATGAGGAACACAGAGAAATACATGTTATACAGGGTCCCTGATTTAAGAGATTGAGGTAAATATGTCACTCATGAAGACAAAGTTTGGGAAGGGAATCAGTTCTTTAAGTATATCGAAATAGGACGAGGTCAATAGTTTCTTATTGTTTAATTGCATGTGTAGCATATGAGTCCGTTCACTTCATATGGTTTTTAATGTTTTCTTATTTTATCGTGGTGAGATGTGGCAAGCTTGAGATGCAGTGGGTCATCCAAGTGAGATGCCAGGAGGTAAGACTGCCAGGTGTGAGGGCAAGGAGACAAAGATTTAACAATAAGAACTTAAATATCGAAGAAAAACCAACTTCTGAGTTTATAGCACATCCCCCAGGTGCCTTGAAATAGGGTTGGCTGCCATGGCCAATGGTCATTTGATTGGTAAGGTATTAGAGCAACCACCATTGAAAGTACTACAGTGGCAGAGACAAGCCCCAAAATCTATATCAAGAAAAGGTCGATTCAACAGCCACACCCTACCTCGCTGGTTGTAGTGAGCAGGCTCCCTCGCATGTGACATTAGCCACAGGGAAAGCAAGCTGAAAGCACGTGACCAAGTAGCTCATGGCCACGAGGAATGGTGCCAACTTTGCATTCTGGACATGGTATTTTACTTCCTAACCCAGCTAGCCCATTCTGACCCATTCTGACTGGTTAAAAGTTTCTCAGGATGATTCTGCTTAAGTAAAGCCCAGAGCCCAACCTGGGTTGGACTTTCCTGCATTTTCCATTTATCCAGTACAAAACACTGCTTAGGACAGCATTGGCCAAGTAGCTTTCACCTCCACTGAGCAGCTCTGCCCCTGGGTCAACGAGACCAGCATAGCGGAGCTGGTGACAGGCTTCTCTTTAGTGGCCCCCAATTCCATAGGCTGCCTAAATGGTGGTCCAAGAGAGTGAAGAAGTTACCTTGTAATAGAGCAGATGCCTCTTTGGCATACATTATGGAGAGCTATGACTGCCTGGTTCTCTGGAAAGGCTTGTGAATGGAGGATTATGCAGAAGAGATACATTCGTACTGTAATCACTTTGTACCAACATAAGCTATACAAAGGAACAATCATTTGACAGAATTTTGAGATAGGACCAAAGACTCTCTTAGATTACAGGCCCCAATAATTTGAGTTTCTTTCTTAACTAAACACTGAAGATAAACCATCCAGTGTGGGCATCTTTAAAGTGCATCAAGAATTCAAACACACTTTTGAAACAACCTGCATGTTGACTGCTTTCAGATTTTTATTGTTTCTCCCCATTTTCTCAGTTATTTCACTCCTACCAAATTCATGAGCAATTGTGTCAGCCAACTCTTCTTTAACAAGTTGTTCTGAACCATTCACCTGGGTCTTCCTGGAAACCACAACTCTCTCTTTTCACATTAATTTCATCAGTGAAGTGTCATATTGAGGGAACTTGCATTATTAAAATAACAGGTATGCTTGACATCAACAGATCTGAGAACAAACACAACTGACTCACTCTCACATACAGCTCGACAGGCGTGAGCACACCAGAGTAGGCTGCCAGTCACGGGCTCCCAGCGTATTGTAAGCTGCCATGAGCACGTTTCTCAGATCACATGGAGGAGGTTGGTTGATCCAGCAAGGAGCTGACTAGATCTCCTAGTTTAACTAAGTTGCCAAACCACAGGTCAGCCACAGGCCCTCTACGACCTTCTCTCCTGTTCATCTTATTGGTCATTTGTACCGCTCATCTATTGTCTTCCTTGGATCATTCGACTTGACCCTGGAGAAGGAGGGAGATACTAAAGAAGCAGAGGCAGGGAGAGGAAGTGATAAAAGCAGGCTTCGGAAAGAATCCTCTGGAACTGAGGGCCAGTAACCCTTCTTAGCCTGGGAAGAGAGACCCAAGCTGTCCACCCTTTCCACTGTTCATCCACTCCACTGGTGGGCCGGTGCTGGTGCTAGGTGTAGGGATTCAAGATTTGTAGGACACAACCTCTGCCCCTGAAGAGCCCTCAGCCTAGAGCTGGAGACAGTCTAGTATACCCATAATTACGGTGCACTGGAATCAAGTTTCATGGGTGAGGGTAGGGAGATGCTACCTGGAACACAGAGCTGGGTCTTTCAAGATTAGGAGGAGGTTGCCAGAGAGAGGAAAAGAAGAGGGAAGTGGAAAGACCTGTGCAGAGACACATAGGCAGAAGCGTGGAACTGAACGGGGTCTGGGAACCTCACATGCCCAGTGAGGCAGGGAAGGAAGAGGTTGACAAGCTAAGCAGACTGGGTCTTAAAGAACCAAGCATGCCACCCTAAGGAGCCCGACCGTGCTCTGAGGTCGCTGAGGAAGCAGGACAGGGAGTGGAGGCAGGAAGGGAACATGATCATGTATGTCAAAGAGGATCCTGGTGGGGGATGCTTGCAGTGAAACAGAGTGAGGAGGACTAAAGGGAGCAGTCAAGACGTGGGCGATGGAGTCCTCTTCCGATCCTGAGCGTCAGGTTAGGCATCGCGGAAGCATCTTCTGCACCGCGCAGCACTGGGCGCAGGGAGGGCTGGCTGGATGAGCAGATGGACAGACGGGTGGACAGATTTGTGACGCCACCGCACGGCCGGTTTTGCACATGTAACTCCTCTTCTTCCCTCAGCCATCTATCTCTGTAAGAGGACAATGCAGAACAAAGCAAGACTGGAATTGGCAGATTATGAAGCGGTAAGTGCGGTTATTTCTCAGCTTAAGTGTGGCAGGAGAGTAAAACCGTATCTGCATCTCTGGTTCCGCTTCTGTTTTTCCTTTTTCCTCTCCCTAGTCCCTTTTATCTGGGCTCCTTTGTTCTCACCTCTTCTTAACACCCAATAAAATTGCATCTTTATACAAGAGCGCTCCAAACTCAGCAGTAAGAAAACAAACCACTCAAAAATGGGCAAAGGACTTGAACAGACTCTTCACCGGAGAGGACATTAAGGATGACAAATAAACCCATTAAGAGATGTTCAACAACAGCAGCCATTAGGGAAATTAAGATGAAATCCAGGGTGACATGTCACTGCAGACCTATCAGAGTGGCCAAAATAAAGAGTCCTGGGAATGCCCAGTGGGAATGCGAAATGGCAGAGCCACTCTGGAAAATGGACGGGCAGTTTCTTACAAAATTAAGCATATACATCCCATCTAACTGAGCAGTTCCACTTCTACCCCCGAGAAATCAGAACTCCTGTTCACACAAAAACCTGGGTAGAACAGCTCTGCTTGTGATAAGCAAAAGCTGAAACAACCCCGATGTGCTTTAGGAGGTAAAGGGTGAAATAAACATTGGTATGTCCATTCAGGGAAATAAACACTCCTCTGTGGTTGAGAAGGAGTAAACTGTTGTTCCACACGAGTGGAACACTTAGGTGTTCCACTTAGGTGGAACTTAGGTGACTACTCCAGAGGTTACGTGAAATGAAAGAAGCCAGTCTCCAAAGACGACACGCTGTGTGATTCCATTTACAGCACACTCTCGTAAATACAAAACCATCGCGAGGGAGAACAGATCACTGGTTGCTGGGAGTTACAGGTCAGGGCATGATTTGGCTGTAAAGAGACAGCACAGGGAGTTTTTTTGGGAACTATTTTTTGGGAACTATTTTTTGGGAACTATTCTGTATCCTGATTATGGTGGCCGTTCTGGGAATCTAATCGATACCTGTGTTTCAGTGCATATGGCTGCGCAAAAGGAGAAAACAGAGACAATATGAGAATTTTTTAAACTTACTCTATGATAGTTTTTAATTGCATCTTTTAACCCAACTCCCCCATTCTTGGCGGTCAAATCTAAGGACCAAATTCAATCCAGAAGATATGTGTCCAATGAATAGAAATGCCCAGTTCTCCCCCTGCACCACCTTCTTTCAAAAATGTGATTCCTGCAAAACTCAGAGGCCCCACCACACTCACACCCATCTCGTTTAACAGAGCCACGGCACGGAGGACTCGAAGCTCAGATAATTTTTGAAATATTTCAGATTTATGGTTGCAGAGTCTTTCCCCTAAACCAAACTTTATATGGGTCACAGAGAATCTGGGAAACTGACCAAATTGTCACATACCCTCCAGAAGGCACGGAAGCTGCTGAGCCAAGAAATGACTGAAAGGCTGGCAGCAAGGGGGAGGGCCAGCCCTGGGGGCAGCGAGGAGTCCTTCCCCGGTCAACCAACAACATTAACAGGACTTCCAGCTCCTTCCTTCCCAATCTCCCTCTCGTGCTGCCCCAGTTTCCCACAATAAGTGTGAGGCCCATTGCATCAGACTTTATCGCTCTTGGGAACCTGTGCACAAGCCAGTGGGGAAACAGTTCTGGAGGACATGGTACCTTTGACCCAGGGCCTCAGGACCTGGCCAAAGTGTGCTTATCAATGGGAGCCATTACACATAAATATGTTGGAATACTCTGATCTTCCCAAGCAAACCCTAGCATGGCTGTTCAGTGAATTTGAGTATCTGGACACCTAGTTCCTGTCCCCATCAGCCCTCACTTACCAGCCATCACCCCTCACTCAGAATCCACTCTCCTACCTCTGTGTACCCCGTACAAGGTGCTACATCACTCTCCTAGTGTGACCCATCCAAAAGATCCAGCCTGCAGAAGCACGTGGCCTGCCCCCACTGTGTCTCTCTTCCCCACATTTTCCATGTTTTAGAAAAGGTCCTATCTTTTAGAAAAGATAGCATCAACTCCAGATAGATTTTATTCCATTTTCTTCTCTCTTGCCCTATACTGTTCCGCTTTGGTGTTTGTAAAGAATACGGCATCAAGATGTTCTTTGAAGTTGACCTCTGCCTAAAAGTGGGTTAGAAAATTTTAAAAGTATTTTGTTTTCAAAATTCAGTAATTTTATTAATTTTTTTCTGACGACATTGTCTCTTTGTAAAAAAAAAAAAAAAAAAAAAAAAAATTCAACCTGGCGATTCACAGACCTGTACCCCTGGGGCTAATAATACATTATATGTTTATAAAAAAATAAAAAAAAATTTTTTAAATTCAAACAGCAAAGAAAAGAGAGGAGAAAGCCTGCAATCCTTCTCCCTTAACATTTCTTCTGTACATACATTTTTTTTCCTTTACAAAAACAAAACAAAACAAACAAACAAAAAAACCTTGAATCATAGCCTGAACATTACTTTGTAAGCTGCTTCTTTCCCTGATCATATGCTGTAAGCATATTGAGAATCTTTCCGTGTCAGTAATAATAATCTACATTATTGGTTTTGATAGCTGCCTAGTATTCCATGGCATATCTGTTCATAATTTATGTAACTGCTCCCCAATTGACTGATACGTAAGCATCACCAACTCTGCTTCCCATGAACAGTAGAAGAATGAAAGGAACAGGTTGTTTTTTTTTAGGTACTCATACACTGAGCCTTGATAATAACTGAGTTTATGTGGGTTGATCTTCAACTGAAGCTCCTTTTATATTAATAATCCACTAATGAGGGTAATCAATTAGTGCTGGCATGAGCTCTATGAAAATACATAGCATAATGTGGGCTCTGTCCTTGCATTCCATCAGAATTAGGCGGATCATTAGGGGACCTGTCAAACACCCCCCTCACTGTCCCATTGTGCCATCAGGTAAGACTACAGACTTAGAGAAAAGCTTTTCCCCTCTTCCTCTAAAGGCAACCCTGGATGCCCTTTCTTTCTTTCTGTTTTTGGGTTTTCCTTTCATGAGCATCACAAATATAGACTTTCCCTTTTCTCCTGCTTTTGAATCCAAACTTTCAAAGGCACGAATGCCAGGTCATCTGTGTTTCTCTTTCCTGCCGCCCTCCCGGGCCCCAGTTTGCTGGAAGATGCATCTTTCTCAAGAATCCCTTCTTGCTTTTGCTCTCGGAGATGTCCAATAGGCTGCAAAAAGCCCCCCAGCCCCCGTCCCTTCCCCAAATCCCGCATGAATAGCCACAAACCCTTCTCCCTTTCTTGCGTGGTGGTGATGACAAGCGCCATGTGAGTTGCGTTCGTGTAAAACACACGAGAAAAGAGGAACCAGGTGAACCACAGAGATTTCAGATTTAATGGGTGTGTAAATGAATATTAATAGTTCTGCTCTGTACAGCAGGGTCTGGGGCCAAATCACACTGGGTTCATATCCAGTGGATTTAAAGTGGGGTGCTGCTATTCTGCTGGGAGTAACCAAAATAGATGACCGCCTTGTAATAAGCATAGGTGTCGATGTGCACACTTACAAGGATTAATGCCTTCTCATTCATTTTGATTTCTCATTAGGAAAACTTAGCAAGACTCCAGAGGGCCTTTGCAAGGAAGTGGGAATTCATCTTTATGCAAGCAGAAGCGCAAGTGAAGTAGGTGAACTTGACAGAGACCCTGGAAAAGAGAGAAAGACTGTCGGGAATGTGGAGGTGGTGTGAGAGTGGTTTCCTTCCACGGCCGGCCAGCCACGGCTGGTCAAATGCTGTCGCCTTGCATGAGAGCAGCAGAGTAGAAATCAAGGTCAAGATGGATAAGTTTCATCTTTGTAATCAATGGCACTCTGAAATAACTTCAAAAGCATGTGTCTTAGCAGGGAATGGGCTTGCTCCCCAACGAAGAAATCTCTTCTATAGAAACAGAAGTTTCTGTTTCCTAAAGAGATTTCCAAGTATTCTTCTGGGCTCAGGGGCTGAAAAAACATCAGACCCACTTTTCTGGAGATTCTCTCTGCATAGGAAAACGTGCTGGAGCTTTAGGGAGGCCAGTCCCTCTCCCTTTGCCCCCAGAGGAGGGGTTGAGAACATCAGAAATAAGGCACAGAAGTCGGACGTTGGAGTCCAGTGTGTTGTGATTATTGCTGATAAAATCCAGGTTCTAGGGCATGACTTTGGATCTGTGACCACAGATCTTTACCCTGGAATTCAACTTGCCCATGCTGAGCAAACCTAAATATCTGAGAACCCCATACCCCAGGGCAGATGTGAGCCCTGTAAGTTCACTGCATGTAGGGGGCAGGCGTCCCAAGAACAGGCTGGCCCACGCACGGGACCCAGAAAGGATGGACCTGAGCTTCCTCAATTCCTTCTTTCAGATCCACCAACAAAGTGAAGGCCCTTTTTCTCCCCTGGAGTATAGGAGATGAAAGACTAGCTGGGGTGTTTCCCCCATACTTTTCCCTCCCCAAGAGTATACTGGAAATTCCTACCTCCCTAAGGAAACATGAGAAGTGGCCCATACATGGCCCCCTGTCCACAAGCACGGTTGTCAACCAGGTCCTTTCAATTCTAGGAAAAGAACTAGCTCAGGTTGGGTTCTCTTTCGCCCTCTCCAGCAATGATCTCTGATTTAGCCAGAAGTGTTCACAGAAGAAATGGGGCAGAGGAGGGGATCAGAAAAGGACACTGAGCTAGGCAAAGGCGAGCATCTTTTCTCTGGATGCCACTTGTCCCTGAGCAGGGCCCCTCTGCATTCGGTGGGCAGCTTTGCAGTCCATCACCCAGGGCTGGGTCTCAGGCCATACGGTTGGGCATCCATCACAGGTGTGTGGTCGTAGATGGAAATGACCCAAGGACTTCGGGTCCAGTGGCTGGCATGGTACCATGGCCCACCCCTCCCTCTGCAGTCTCTACCTTTCCCCTCAGCCCATGATTCCACACGCCTGCAGAGCCTACCTGGTATTGCCGGTAGCCAGGAGTAAAATGGGCACTGGATGCTGAGCTGAGCTGGAGGAGCTGTGGCCCCCGAGGAAAGAGAAAGTGGGAGCAGGGTTGAGGGGGGAGGAGGAGGCAGAATCCAACCTGTGTACTCAGAAGCCACTGCGAAGCAAAGGGGAGAGCTAATTTGCACGTTAAGGATCACCCAGCATCGCATGTTGAAAAAGGCAGGGAAATTGTTACTTTGTACATATACGGTATTTCTCAATTAACTTCTTTGATTAAGTCCGTGATTATACTATAATTGTGGGCCATTGAAGTACACGGTAATTATCACAGAAATCTCAGGGTGATTATGGTTTATTTCAGGGCTGTAAACTAAAGTGCTCCCAAAAGAGCCAAGAACCAGAAGTTACACAACAATTAATCTGTTACTTTTTACTTAGAGAGGTAATATGATGTAATACAGGCTTAAAAGAAAAAAACAAAAAAACCTCTTATCTATTTACTGATCAGAACATAATGAATCTGTCTTTGTCACCTGTAATTTCCCTCCTGCAATTTGTGCCTCCCCCAGCTGAAGCCAGCCGTATTTGCTTTCTGGCTCTTGTCACATGCTAGGGCTATTACTCTGCTTTTAGAAAGCTAGAGGCTTTAAGTGACTTTTAAAACATGCAATTGCAGTATTCTGAAGACATTTCTATTGACTCTGAATCTAAAGCAAATTCTCAAACTTGAGGATGAAACACGGCAGGCCTATGGTTATATTCTTTCCTATAATTTGAATACGCAGTATCCACTTTGATGGGGGGGGTATGTCCAGGGATAATTCAATTCTGAATAATCTCAATCTTAATCATTCACTTGGACAGTTAGATTCTGGTTCTCTCCTTAGGCCCACCACATTCAGTCCACATCTGTGATGACTTGCAGTCCAGCCTAAGAAAAATACTCATCCCATGTGTGGACTTCTGGAGGTTCCTTTGAGGGAAGGGTCCGCCCCTATGTCACAGCCCTTCAGAGAGCAGGGACCGCACAGATGCCAAGAGCCCCATGTGCACTAAGCCTCTAGAAACAGGAGCCTCTGATCTCCTTTCTTTGCTCTTCCAGGATAGATCGGAAAAAGGACAAGACGGAAAGGAAAATTTTGGATAGTCAAGAACGGGCCTTTTGGGATGTGCACAGGCCAGTGGTGAGAAAGCTCCCCTTGCTTCTCTGTGTTTTTGTTTTGTTTCCCTCTTCCTTCACTTGAAAGAAAAGACTATCTTTAGCCACCAGGTGTCTCATTCTTAAAATTAAAGAGCATTGCTGAACTTTGTGAAACTGGTTTTGCCATTCCGTCAATATAATCTTGGTGGGTTGTCTGGAATGTATGTCAGTTTCAGCTTTTAAGAGTTATTCATCCGTGAAATACGGACTTGGAACAGGAGAACTGTAGGAACTCCCCTGGGACCTCTGGGCCCCAGAAGTTTACAGCCCCAAAATAAGTAGTTTCTGAGTTTGGGTTTTTTTTTTGTTTTTTGGGTTTTTTTTTTTTTTTTTTTTTTTTAGTGTATTTGGGTGCTCCCAAATTGGGTGCATCAATATTTACAGTTGTTAGAACTTCTTGTTGGATTGTCCCCTTATTATGATACGGTGCCCTTCTTTGCCTCTCGTTTGTCTTTGGTTTTTAAGTCTGATATAAGTACAGCTAACTCCAGCTTTCTTTTGACATCTATTTGCATGGTAGATGTTTCTCCCTCCCCTCACTTTGAACAAGCAGTTTCCATTTCTGCTGTCATTCAACTCTATATCTTAGAATAATCTTCCTCAAATGCGGTCCATTGTCAGTATTCACGGTAGTTACGTTCTGCAAAGTAACCGGCACGCTGAATTAGCCAGGGCTGAGCCACTATCCTGGGAGACATGCAGGGTTCGGTTCCTCTGGTCCCAATCTTTTCTTCAGTTGATCGGTAGGTAACCATGTCCATAGCCTGCTTCTGTTTAAAGACGTCTTATTTAATGTATGTTGTTGATTCATGATACTGAATTCGGGACCACCAGTGTTCTCTGACACACCTGTGTTCCCTGTCACACACCCCATGACCCTCTTGCGAGTAGGAACACAAGAGGTCACATCACACTGTGCTCCGGGGCTTTGTTAAACAGCAAAATCACCAAGAAAAAGCACAGAAATGTGGAAAAGGTGGTCCTAAATAGATCATCAAAAGAACATTTGTTCACAGTAAGAGATGAAACAGAAAGGCAGAACCTCACCTTTGCGTCACTGGGAATGCACACATCGGGCTGCTCACAGCCTTTGCTGCTCTGTCTGTGTCCACAAATGATCATGAAGGCAGCACAAAGAGGGACTCGGGGGTTATGAATAAAGTTTAGCTTGTAGGTGAATTCACAAATACAAAATCCATGCATAATGAGGTGCGATTGTATTTCTGATTTCCTATGATTAAGACAAATCTTGCATTTTCCTCATGAAATGGAACTAGAATGAGGAAACTATGTCCTCAAACTATGTCTAAAAGCTGGTTAAAAGCAGAACACAGGAAGTATTTCCCCATCATGATATTGGATTGTTGTAGATGGTCAGATAATGTTTAGTAACAAAGGCTGTGGTTGAAACGATCTGGCCACTCTGAATAAGAAGTTTACTCTGGGGACACAGTCAGTTAAGCATCTGCCTTTGGCTCAGGTCATGATCCCAGAGTCCTGGGATCAAGTCCTGCATCGGGCTCTTTGCTCATCGGGGAGCCTACTTCTTCTCTTCGCCCCACTTGCGCTCCCTCTCTCACTCTCTCTCTCTCTGGCAAAAAAATAAAAATCTTTAAAAAAAAAAAAAAAAGGACGTTTATGCTTATAAACTCTTCACTCTAGCCTCTGCATTGTCACCCCTAGATAGTGAGGGGTAGGCTTTGATATTTCATATGGGGCCTCCATGCAGGAACACATGCTGAAGACGAAACGTCTTTATAAAAGGAACTGTAAACAGCCAAGTGGAGTTAATCATGTAATACCTGTAATGGGAAAGACAAAGACTGGGTCTGATGGTGTCGCTTGGGTCACAATGGAAGGTGTGATTTTCACTTGGTAATTTATATGATTTTTTTTTTTTTTCCTCAGCCAGGCTGTGTGAACACAACAGAAATGGATATCAGGAAATGCCGACGTCTGAAGAACCCACAAAAGGTTAAAAAGGTTCGCTAGTTTAGCTAAATTAAAAATTCCTGATGCAAATAGCCCTTCTGTTTCTGGTACTGTTCAAACAGTCGTTTGCTGTTTGTTAATTCTACCCCATTTTGTCCTTTGAAACCATTTCATTCATTCATTCTACAAATATTTGTGGAGTGGCTGGTGTGTACTTGACGCCCTTCTTGCTGCTGAAATACGGTGACACAAGTCGTCACAATACCCACAGCCTGGGAGAGAGGGTGCGGGGGAAGGGGGCAAACCCCCAGGCTGTCAGAAGGGCTGTGGCAGGGAAATGCTGGATGGTGCCAGGGCGCCAGGAGGGGACACCAGACCCAGGGCTCCCTGAGGGCTTCCAAAGCAGGCTCAAGTGTGCTGAGGTGTGGAGGGTGAGTAGCAATTGGCTCTGGGAAGGAAAAGAAACTAAAGGAACAAAAAGTATCCAAGTCCCACAGGTGAAGGTGAGCTTAGTACTTTGAAAATCTTTTATGTACGTAGATCATCCAAATTCAAATCACCATCGTACCCACCTGTGAATGGACCAACCATTGTTTATCCGTGTTTCACTCTCCTGGAAGTGGCAGTGGCCATGACATACTTGAGGCTGCCCCCCTCAGCCTGCCCCACGACTGGTATACCCCAACTTCACCATGGCACCAAGGGCCGTATTGTCGGAGGACATATCTGTCCCCCATGATATTAATTTCAAGAAGCTAGAGTTGTACCCCCAGGCATTGCTGTTTCTTGTGATGGCCAATCCTCTCATTTTCACACACACACACACACAAACACACACACACACACACACACGACATGACGTATATTTCAACTTCTTGAATCCACTTACATATTTTATTCTTTACTGAGGTGAGTTATGCCCTTGTAGGTTTTAGACCTTATGACATTAGTCTTAAAACATCCTCATTTAATTTTTAAGGGCCCCCTAATTCTAATCTTCCAGAATTTCATGGAGCTCACATCCTCTCTATCTGACCCCTTCTTGATTTTATAGATTTCAGCTATACATTGCGTAGCCTCTGGGGTTTCATTTCATTCCCAGAGCAAAGATTGTCTTTCCTCTGTCTCCAGCACAAGGAAACTGCTTAATAAGCAGCCATAGCATAGGGAGAAACTGAGGCCATAAGCTGTTTGGCTGAAAAGGAAAGAGTCTGAAACCCGACCCTCTCCAGTTTATACCAGAGGAGCATGTCATCTGCTGGGGAACAGAAAATCTAGAGAAGCTCTTCCATGCATAACTTTCAACAGTTGTTCTTGAACTTTCTTGTGCCTCAGAATCACCTGGGCCATTTGATAAAAGTGCAGGCTCCCACACCCTGCCCACAAAGACTCAGGAGGTCTGGGGTTGGGGCTCAGCAATGTGCATCTTTACGAAGAACCCCCAGATGATTCTTCACAGATGGTCTAGGGCCATATTTGGAGACACGCTGATAGTCGAGAGACAGTTGCTGCTTAGTGAAAAGAAAGATCATCTAACAGTGGTAGCCCAAAGATGGGACAAGCTGCCTCAAGAGGAAGAGGTCCCCTCACTGTAGAAATTGGCAGGGGCTGGTCACTTATTGTCAGGACGTCACAGAGGGGATTGGAAGCATCAAAAGAGCTCTTGCTGTGCCCACCCCTAAGGCGTCCTGCCCCTCTGAGGATGCATGATTCTATCTTCTTGCTTCTTCTCTAGTCAGTGTATGGCGTGACAGAAGAGTCCCAGTCGCAAAGCCCCGTGCACATACCCAGTCAGCCAATCAGGAAAACTACAAAAGAGGACATCCGGAAACAGGTGAATGAATTGACTACTGCACTCCCAGGAGGAGACGTGGCCAGGTTGAAAACCCTTTGAATGTTCATCTCTGAAGGCTGAGTGAGCTTTGAGTTCCTGGAAACCACAGTGGAACCCAGCTGTGGATGACTTGAAGCTCTGAGTGCTGTGTGCGAACAACCCACGAAAGCTCGAGAGGACAAAATCTCCACGGAGTTCCCCCAGCAGTTATTAGAGAAGGACATAGAGGAGTGATCCCAGCCCCTTGGGGTTCCCACAGAATGCTGTGGAGGGGTGGGGGGGACAGATATCACAGAGTCCTTAAGATTGTAATGAACTTGCAGAGTAAGCCAGCTCAGAACCACCGACTTTATTGCTGTGATTCAAAAGGCAAGTTTACAAATAAAGAAAGCCCCACTCTGTGCCACTTCAGCTTTATTTGGTTCAATGTTGCCTTCCTTCATGACGAGAAGCTAACTGGTCAACCAGGGACAGCAGACAATGGCTAATTACATGACTCCTTTCTAGGGTTCACTGACAATGAAGTGACTTCAGGGTCTTTATGTTATGTTTTACTGGCTTCTGAGGGGGAAACCCAAAGTTGCCCACCCCTGACAAGGTTATTTGGGGTGGGCAAGAGGAAACGTATGTGAAGTCGCTATTTGATGATCTAGTCAAGTACACCAAGCATATGGTGGGTGTAATGCAGTTGTGAAGGGTGTGCAGAGGGAAATCACTGGAAATCAGTCCAACCAGATATTTACAGTGCCTCTAAGTGCTGCTAAGCTTCGTAGGATATCTACCACTGCCTTTAAGCTTGCAATGACTTTTGGGAGTCAAGACTTAGGCTACAACACAGTACAGAATATTAGCATAGGCTAAATTGTGGAGTGTGATTCCCGAGTATGGTGGGAACTTTCGGAAAGGCCAATGATTGTTGGAATGCAAAGCTGGAGCGTTGGCAAAGGCTGGCCAGAAGAGCTGTTTGGTTATGGATGGAAATACAAGGTTTGGGTTCATAGGGAGAAGGGGAAATAAATCAAGTTTGATCTTAATACCTTTGTTCTATCTTTCCCCAGATAACATTTTTGAATGCACAGATTGACAGACATTGTTTAAAAATGTCCAAAGTGGCTGAAAGGTATGTTTCCCCTCAATAATATTACTGCTTTCCTCTAATTTAACAAAGGAGAAATGTTACGGGGTCACGGCTAACAAGTATGTACCACACCAAGAGGCAGACCATAGTCATCTCTTAAACTGATGAGTGAAAAAACACAGACCCCACGCAAGTACCGCGAAGACAGCAGACCTCCCTTGAGTGATGTCAAGAAACATTCCATTGTTGAAGCTTTCCAGGGGGTGGCCACGGGACCTTGTCAATCCAGGAAGAATGTCCTTAAAAGCTACGTAATGCACTTTTACCTTCAGCCTCTTGATTAATTCAAGTGGAATGGGTCCCTTTTCAGCTATAAAATGCCCAGATTCCTTTACGGGTGAGGAAAATGATGTGTGCCCTTTGAGGTGTTGGCTGCGCTTGTCGGAGGGGGCTGAGCCATCAGGAGGCGTTCCACCTCCACACACCATCAGCCCCAGAACCTCATCAAATCAACTGTAAAGAAAATATTTGGCACCTCCAGCCCGGCTTCCTCAGGAGCATTCGTGCTACGATCTGCACCCGGAGCTGGTTCCACTCCCACTCTGTTAATGCAGGGGAAACTCAATTTTTTCAACTAAATGGTCTGTTTTTCGAATCCTCGGTGAAGAGGAGAGACACCCTGGGGAATCCGTGATGGAATAAATCTGATCGGACAGTCTCACACCGAACGATATCCATCCATATGCTATTGTTTAAGCGTTGACCAGTATCTGAGGGATCAAGGTTTTAAGCTGGGTCTTAGCATTTAATGGATTTTGGTGTAAAGTGGGTCCTTTAAACCCAGCTCACACAGAGGGCTGGCTGTGTGTTCAACCTGTGAGCCTTTCTCTGCTGGCCCCTAGGTTGATCTGCCTCCTCTTTCTAGATGAATAACAAGAAATTGAGGCTAAGAAAAATTCCTCTCCCAAATCCAAAATGCTAAGTGAACACCCTGTGTTCAGGGGACCAAGGACATCCCTGGCTTGGAGCAGGCATCTCCGTCTATCCCGGGACTCACTGATAATGTCGCTATTGACATCCTGGGCGGTCCTCTGCATTTTAGGATAGTTAGCAACCTCCCCGACTTCTACCTACTTACTAGATGCCAAAGCCCACCTCACAATCATGAGAACCAAAAATCTCTTCAGGTATCATCCAACGTTCCCAGGGCAGAGCCAGGAGGAAGGCAGAATCACCCCTTGTGAGAATCACTGAGATTCCCATTTTCTCCAAAGAAAGCGTTCCTCAAGGTGGCCGGAGGCTGGCGCTCAGCTTGCACTTGGACGTGGATTTCTGTGGAGTCAGGTCTGTCGCTGACTCTGCTAGCCCCAGAGCCACTGCGCCCACCCAACTGTCATGTTGGGGGTCTCCCCAAGTACCAGCCTCTAAAATTGCTTTCTGATCTCACTGTGGTTGCCTTTGTCCCAGAGAGTGGCCATGAGGGAGGTGGTGGGGTGACATTGCGTGCATTGGTGCCGTAGCCTGTAAGGGGCTCTGAGCTTCTGTCTCTGTGAAAGAGGGACAGGAATGACTGTCCCCATGTGCTGGGAGGATCAGTGCGAGTCACACCTGGCCTTTGAAGGGCACATGAGACTTCGCAGTCCTAGGAGAGCATGTGTGTGGCGGTGGTTTGAGGGGGATGGGGGGGAAGCATCTTCCCTTGGGTCAGTTCAGTCGGGTCCAGTGGTTTTGAGCAGAACTGTCCAGGCAGGAAGGGGTTCAGAATGGGGTTTCCCAAACCCTAGCTGTGGGGATTTGGATTCAGTGACCCCAGGTAGATCCAGAGGAGCCTGCATTTTGAATAATCTGCAGGTGCACTGACCAGGTCTCCTTGGGGAAGCCACTGTGTAGCCCTGAGGCTCTGTGCTCAGCCCTGAGCTGTGTGACCTGAGAGCTCACAGAAGAAGGGGCACCCTGCTTTGTCTGATCTCTGGGGGACGTGGGGAAAAAGCCTGAACCAGTCAGCCTGAGGGAAGCCCACTGACTCCTGGCAGGTGTGCGGGGCTGAGGCGGGGCAGGGAGGCGGTCCAGGTGGGGCGGGGAGCCTGGCAGGGCCTGGTGTGTGTTTGTTTAGCGCTGTCGGGGAGGGCCCCACCTGGCAGCATCTCATTATGCCTGACCGGAGAGGTGATTCCAACCAGCCTGTCCTCACTCCCAGCTCGAAGCTTCCGGAGTCTCCGCCCAGCAGAGACCAGATTTTATTCCCAGCAGCAATAACTGGCAACTTTTCAATGTGACACAAGGGTTTTTCATTAGAACCACGAGGAAACTCCCAGATAGAGAGGAGGAGGGAGAGGAGACAGGTTTAAGCAGGAGATAAAGCAGTCTGGAGCCTCGGGCCCTGTCAGCAGCAGCGGGGGCGGGGATGGGGAGGGGGCGCTGGCAGCTGGCCCTGGGTGCGCGACTGCTCTGCTCACCGAAGCTGAAAGCTGAGCTGTCTCAGGTGGGCGCACACATCCCCAAGCCAGTGCTGCTCTCCCTGGGCCTGTGGCAGGTGATGGGTGTTAATCAGCCACCAGGCAAAGGACCTCATCCCCCAGAGAACAGGTGCATGCCACGCAGTTCCCTGGGAACTGATGCTGGGGAGAGGCTCCAGGGCTGGTGACGGGTTGGGTCAGGGTTGTGGTCAAAGGTTGTGAGCACACCCAGCCAGGAAGGGAATAGGGACACTTGCCTACTGAAGGAGCCCCGCAGGACGAATCAGGGCATGGGTGTGGAGCCAGGCGTCAGGGCTGGGGTCCTGCCTCTGCCCATTTTCTAACTGCAACCTTAGGCAGGCTGCTTTCTCTCTCTGTGCCTCCGTTCTGTTTCTTTAAAGGAGAGAGAGCAGTAGCACTAATGTACAGGGTTAATGAGTTCATCCAGTCCTTGGCATGTATTACACAGGCAATAAATACGAACCATTATTTTTATCATTTTTAATGATTTATTTATCATTAAGCACCCTGTGGTGCTTAATGGTGTCTTGGAAAGGAGCAGACTTCAGGTACGTGGAACAGAAAGAACTGGGCATAGGTGTTCAGAGGAAGCCATAAAGGGCAAGCCACGAAGTGAAGCGTGTCTTGCAGACAGCGGCTTTCTGCAAATGCAGCTCTTCCACCCTGTCTCTTTTCCATCTGCTGCCCACAGGCCGCCCAGGAAGGCTGGCCCTGCAGCCCACATCTGTGTTTCTGCCCCGGCTGCCTCCTATGGCACTGCTCTTCTGGCACCTGTGAGGAAGGAAAGGCCATATGGGAAGAGTTTGGTTCTTCTGTGCGGATCTTCTGGGGTCATCCTGGTTTCAACCGCACAGTTCCATTGTCACCATGAGTGGCTAAGGGCCAACATCATGACAACCGAACTCCACTTCCCCAGCATACGCTGCCTTTTGCACCTGGAAGCTACAAAAAGTTCTATCTAAGATGCTACCTGATTTTTTTTTTTAAGATTTTATTTATTTATTTATTTATTTATTTGAGAGAGAACGAGAGAGCATGATGGGGGTAGGGTCAGAGGCAGATGCAGATTTCCTGCTGAGCAGGGAGCCCAATGCGGGACTCAATCCCGGGACTCTGGGATCATGACCTCAGCCGAAGGCATTCACCTAACCAACTGAGCCACCCAGGTACCCCCGATTTTTGCTTCAGGTAGTATGGTCCCCGCACACACAAATGAATCTCCCAGATAAACAGTGTTTAACACCTTAAGCCTGTTATTTTAAGTATTTTAAATGAAAATCTTTTCCTTTACTTTCTTTTTTTTTTTTTTTTAAGATTGATTTATTTAGTAGAGAGAGAGAGAAAGGGGGAGGGGCAGAGAGAAAGGGAGACAGAAGCTCCAAGCAGACTCTGCGCTGTGCACGGAGCCCGACACAGGCCTCGATCTCACCACCCTGAGATCACTACCTGAACCCAACAAACCAAGAGTTGCATAGCCAACTGACCGCATCACCCAGGTGCCCCCAAACAAGAATCTTTCTTAGGTATGGTTCATGCACTTGCCTTCTTAAAGAAAGGATACTATATTTCAGTTAAGTTTTCCTGGATGACTTTTATACTGCGCTTTGCAACTGCCAATGATCAGCGTCTTAGGAAGTGCCACAAACTTCTTCCCTTTCCCTAAAGAGCCTCAGACCATTACAACCTTCGAGTCTGTGTTTCTGCTTTTTAGCTTTTTTAGCTTTTTTAAGCTAGATTGTTGGTTTGTTTTCTTGTTCCTGGTCAACAATCTGCAGGCAGACCAGGTGTTTCTGTTAGATATCGCTGAGTAATAAGCGACCTCAAACCCTAGCGGCTTCCAACAGCAGGCATTTGCTATGGTTCGCATGATTATGTGCCAGCTGGCTCCCCTGGGCTCGGGCTGGTATCCATGTGCAGCCACGGACAGCTCTGTGCTCTTAGCTGGGCTCTCTCACGTGCTTGGCTCCAGGTGGTTTAGCATGACCTCGGCTGGGATACTGGGCTCTCCCTCACATAGTCTCTCATCCTCCGGCGAGTTTGACCTTGCTCACGTGGGAATAGTAGAATTCCGGGAGAGAGGGTACAAGCAGGCAAAGCCTCTTGAGGCTTGGAACTGACACTCTGGCACTTCTGTTGTCTTTTATCGGTCAACACATGTCACAAGCCCAGACCAGATTCAAGGGCTGGAGAAATAGACTCATTTTTAAATCAATCTACCATACCAGGAAATCGAACGACCAAGTCCCTTAGCCTTGGTCCTGAAGCAAGAGTAAAGAGTCTTTTCCGAGGGGCGTGCTCTTCTGAATTCAGACGATGAGCCTTGAGGCCTAGGGTTTGTGTCATTGCAGACTCTGCTCAGAGGCCGTTTTGGTCGTATAGCTCACCTGTGTGAGATCGCCAAACAATGGAGGTCTTACCGTCCTTTGCCAGGGTCCTCTTCAGAGCCCCATTTTTATTCACCCAAGCCTTACAGCACTTGACAAACCAATCTGGGAATGCAAAACGGTATACATTTCAGTTCCAAGTGGTCCGAAAAGCCCTACATTTTGCAGGGTTTCTGCAGAG